CTCCCCCTTCCCCCCTTAATTTCACCCATCTCCCCTTTTTCCTCCTCATAATCGCTGACGTTTGTGCTGTAATTATAGTAATCTCCCGTTTAAAAAAAAAAAAAAACACACCACCATATCAACAACAACAACAACAATAACGCAACCCCAACAACCGTAGCAAACATAATATGAAAGAAAGAAATAAAACAACGCAAGGGACATATTTTGACAATATTTTTTTTTGCTCTTGACCCGTGATTACAATGCGCTTGACAAATGTACATATAACATTCAACGTTCACACGTACTCATTCATTTCTCAAATACAACAATAGCACATTTTAATCAAAATCAAAAATGAGAAATCATCTTAAAACAAAAGTAATACCGGTACACGTATTAGCCTACTTAACAATTTGATGCAACTGGACGAAAAAAATGAAGATGAATGAGATTCTTCTTACTTTGCTCATATAGTCAGCATGAAAGCTTATACAAAGAATTTGAACTGATAATTGTAAGATATTTGCTATACTCAATTAAATACACTTATGTACACACCAGGAGACAAACAAATTACTCTGTAAGTTCAGACAGTATTGTATTGGAGTCCAGGGTGATCACCTCTAGTTCGAATCTCGAATTTAAAAAAAAAAAAAATTAATGAGGATGATGGTGATGATAACATTAATAATAAGATATATAGGTAGATAGAGAGAATATTGATAGATAGATAGATAGATAAATATATAGATAGATAGATAGATAGATAGATAGATAGATAGATAGATAGATAGATAGATAGATAGATAGAATGATACACAGATAGATAGAATGATACATAGATAGATAGATAGCAGCTGTTCAGCACAAATTTCCTGCTCAACAGCAAGCTCTGTGATCTTTATAATCAACATTAGTATATTGTTAGTGGAGCGTCTCATGACTATGACTTTCCCCGCTCTTGGCCCTGTCTTATCGGTGAGGGCTGCTGAATCGGAACTCCTGCTTAACAGAATAACAAGTTCAATGTGTTGGAAAGGGGCGCACGATACATCAACACCATCGTTCGCGATGCAGGACTTGGAAACACGTTTGAAAAACAAATAAACTAAAATAAATTGCGGAACAGCGTCTAGCTTGGAAATTGATATCATATTGATTGGAATTACACGTATATTACGTCTTAATCAATACAACTCTGCATGTACTTTAAATAAATAGATAATTTAGAGAGCGAGATGCTTATACCTCGAAACATCACGGCCAACCCGGGCTAAGTGGGATACACCCTCTTAGCAGATAGACAGAGACCCTCTATTATACAACACCTTCGAGAGAAATTGAACTCAATTCTTCTGCCTAATCATTACTCTACAGATGTCAATGAGTTACCCATCATTCACCCCATAGCGATTATTTTTAAAGACAGGGCCAGGTGGGTAAAGTGTTATAGCAATCTTGGTTTCTCCTGTGAACACTACGCGAATCACATTGCGCCTATTCAAATACAAACGGACAAACATGAAAACGAATATTTACAATATATACACAGCAGAAAATATTATACATTTGAATATTTCCAATAGTCGAAAGTCCAAGTGCAGTTTTGAAAATATCTCAAATAACACTGTCGAGCTTCCTTGTCAAAACAGACAATTGCAATCACACGTGCTGCGCGCGCACTTACTTACACACAAACATACATACATACACACACACACACACACACAACACACACACACACACACACACACACACACACACACACACACACACACACACACACACACACGCACTATATTTATAGGTATATGCACACGCACACATACACTCACATACACATCTCTCTGTGTCCTAAAAAAAAAAGCGGAAGAGAAAAAGAGAAAAAAAGTGAAAGAAAGAGAGAGATAAAAACAGATAGATCGAGAGAGAAAGGGAGGAGATGGGAGAGAAAGAGTGAGACAGAGAAAGAGAGAGAAAGAGAGAGACAGAGACACTGAGAGGCAGAGAGAGAGACAGAGAGAGAGAGAGAAAGAGAGAGAGAGAGGGAGAGGGAGAGGGAGAGAGAGAGAGAGAGAGAGAGAGAGAGAGAGAGAGAGAGAGAGAGAGAGAGAGAGAAACCGTGAGAGAGAGAAAGAGGTGCATACACACATTTATTCAATTAATGTGTTCATGAACCCAGCGACGTGAGATTACATTGTCCATAACAGTAAATCCAAATCAATACAGTTCACCATCATGCATGATCTATATACATCAAAGGATTAATGACCACAACATTCACGATTAATTATTATAATCTATTATACTTGTAACCCTCTGGTGCCACAATCGACCCCTGTTTAGAAATTTAAGAGGTGAGCAGCATCGTCTCTGCAAACTATGGTATGAGCTGGCACTGTATGGTAATGCGGCTTAGATAGAGGAAAGATTGATACTACACTGCTTCAAAAATATTCTCTTCATGTCCCATAAATCGATCTGTCGGGTTATTTTGTATCGGACATAGCTAACGTGTTTCTAGGGAAGATGGTTTGTTTTTTGTGCCAACATGTCTAATCGAACAATAAAAAGATATCATAAAATTAATTATTAGGTTTTAATGGCCTCCGTAACAAATTATTAGACCCTAAACCCAAGACATTTTATTCCTTGATATTCTTACAACGAAAAGAAAAAAACAAAAAACAAATAGAATGTGTGAAAAACAAAATCAAAGTTAGAACAAAATCAATAGCCTCTAAAAATGAAATCAACATTCTTTTAACAACGATATAATAAGAATGTTACTCTTTCACATCACGCATACTATACGTTACTAGCGACAGTTACATGTATGTCTTTCTCTTGTTTTCAAGTAAATGGTACGCTGTATTTGGCGTTCAGAAGTGAATGAATATACAAAATGGAGACAATAATATTGTACAAACATAGTAATATGGATGAGTGCACAAGAAATCAGAGACAGCCAAAGTAAGAGCATAGATAGTGTTATAATAGAGACCATACTTGGACAAACATAAATATTATACGTTTTTCGGAATGAAAAGCGTTACAGTTGAAGTTTTAAAAACAATTCATACTTGTAATTCATTAACAGCAGTTTGCCAAAGAAGAGCTTAACGTTCTGCCTTTGTCTGGTTAAAGACTCCCCCCCTCAAAATGACAAACAAGCAGATCAATAATAAAAAAACCCAAATAAATAACACAAAAACAGCAACAGCAAAATAAGAAGAATAACAACAATACAAATGTATTTCTAATAAAACAACGTACCTGTTCACCTTTATTCATTATACTTCCATTTGCAATAGTGTAACACAGGTTGGGCTGGTATCGTCCTGTAGACCGAGGACGGTGACATTTATTGTCATACTTTAGTTTGGGTCGTATGGAAAACTCCATAATTAGATACATACACCATACAGTGTCTTCATATGATACATGTGTATCATTTATAAACTCGTACCATAATAATTATGATATGAAAAAAATTCATTAACTGATCCCAAAGTCGAACCACAATCCCACGAAGTCTGCACATATGGATAGGGGCACGTTCGACTTGGGTCGGGAAAAAAATCAAAGAAAATCGAGAAGAGTTTTGAACACGTCTACGCTTCAATCGACGAGTTCCACAGAAATAAGTTTTTAAAAAATATTGCACAAGAGAAAATAGCATAAAAGAAAGAAAACAGACGTTCATGTAAAGTTCCTATCAAGCTAGATGACCATGCGATAAACAAGGGAAGTTTTAAAATAATATTGAAATCGACCGTCTGAACTGTTCATTATGTTTTCTTTTTGTCCGAAAGAGAGAACAGTTTATTGTTTCCAAAACCACATATATATTTTTAAAATCCAGTTTTTTCACCATGAAAAGGCAACTTGTCTTAATTAAATTGTTGGATTTCTCAGTAACATGGACACATATGTTGTCAAAATAGGTTCTGTCAGTAACTACCAGTCTTCTCCCGGAATACCAAACAAAGAAGAGTCCGACAGGTGGGTTTTTATTAGTCTAAATTTAGAATTGTATAGGGTGGTATTCTCAAAAACAGAAAGTTTATGTTAAACATTAGAGCTAACTTTCTTTAATGTTCAATTTGGAGGAATCATTCTTTAAAAAACTAAATGTTTTAACAATCTTAACGTACTCCCTTCCCCCCTCCCTTTTTTTACAACCCCAGTATTCTTTTTGACTGCTATGCCTTGAATTTTTGGAATTATATTAATGCTACAGTTTTGAGTCCTAACGTTGTGGATCGAGAATATTTATTATTGGTTAATGATGGATTCCGATAATTAAGACGAATTCGATGGGTCTTCTGCTGGTTTCACTGTGCCGTTTTGGTAGAAGCAAGGCCAGGTTTTACAGTGTTTCAAGATGCTGGTTCAACCAAAGTATAAGAGTATGATAGATTCTATTGTTCACAGTGTTCTTGTTCTTCTTGGAACAATGGCATTTATGCAGTCTCTGACGATAGGCTACCTGGTATAACATATAGCATACTTTCTTGCGTGATAGAGAATGATAAGAACTCAAAATACTTTTTTCAAAGAAATTGATGAACTCTGAGACAGTTATAGGAAAATCATAATGTGTGATGGGTAAATAACATTGACGCACCAACAATAAATAAAGTTTGGTAATGCAGACGATATGCATTAATCAAATGCATCTAGAGCAAATGATTCATGGAGGTGCTAAATGCTCGTGTTAAAGTCTCTTCAAGATAATTATGTAGACATTGTTATCATTGTTGTTTTTGTGTATGTGTGTGTGGTAGCCTATCCATTCGAAATGTTTGGAGCCCGGAAGACGGTGCTCTTCGCCAGGGCCACCGCCTCTCTTGGGTAGTGGGTAAGGCAGTCCAACCTCTCTGAATCCTCCCCAAAGAGATGCCACAGCCGGACCTCCGTGGCGGGGCATCTCTGCAGCAGTGCTCCAAATCTTGAGGCTCCTTGCTGCACAATGGACAGATTGGGTCCGATGGTTCGTCTATTCTATTTTTGTTGTTCTTGTTGTTTCTTCTGTTTGTGGCTGTTGCCGTCGCAGCCATTGTCGTTGCTTTTCTAATTGTTTTTGCCGCTGTTGCAACAATCCGCTACTCTTCTTACCTTATTGTACACGTAGCCTACTTAGTACATGGTATGCTAGATCTGTCACTGATCTATTCTAGTTTTTTTTTGTGCGTAAAGAGTTGGGAGTTTTACGTCCCCTTCCGCACAATGTAGACCAACAGTATTATTATGACGGGCTTCCACTTTCGACGGGGCCTGTCCTGTTTTGCCGGGCTGAGAGAGATAGAATGTCCCAGCAGAGAGACCAAGATACTCAATAAAAACATTTCCCCACCGGGAACTCAGGTCTTCTACGTGCGATGGCGAAATGTCTAACAGCTGCACCACGTGAAAGATGTTGTCCTATTCTGACCTGAAGAACGTCATAATGTAGAAGCAGGAGTGAGTGTGAACGTACATGCACATGTATCCGCTACCTTAGAATTACAAAGTTCTATCCGTCCGCTACCTTACTTACAAAGTTCTATCTGTCATCTGTGGCCGTTTTGAGTTACTATGACCGTGAGGTCAGAAACCAAAATCAAGTGCTTTCTATGTTCCCAAAAAATTGTAACATTCTTCGGAGTAGTTATCAAGATATCCAAAGAACTGAATTCGAAAATGCTTGACTTGTTGTGATACTCAAAATTTTATGCGCCAAATAATTTATCAAACCTAGGTACTGAGCGGATAGAACTTAGCACATGTTATTCATGGGTAGCGTAATACATGTGTATGTGTTAGTATGTTTGTATCGTATATCATACATATGAGAGAGTGCGAGCGCGTCTATGTGAATGCGCGTTCCATATTATGTATGTGTATAAGAAGGAAAAGGGTTTGGTGAGGGTTGGATTGGGGGGGGGGGAGGTATTTGACCATAGACGATGGAAACTAGTAATATTTAAATATCTCCTTTGAATGAGCATACAATAGGTGCAGGGTAGTTGGAGGGTGCAACTGGTAGGTCCTACTTCCTTTCTCCCCTTTGTTGCTATTATTTATCGTTCTATTTTCCTTGCACGAGATGACCGTTATCATGTAGGAGCGCTCCTACTCCTCTTTGCTCAAACACGACAAATGACTTGCAGGTTGATCATCGCCCAGGTACCAATACCTCTTCCTCTTCCTCATATTCACACCGACTCGCCATTGGCCACCCGATCCTCATCTATAGCACGGTGGTTCTTGTTCTGGCGAAGTGCCGGGTAAGTGGAGTCGTGTACCCTCAGCATGCGAGACGAGGTCTGGTTACTGGCGTTGTGGCGTATCCGAGAGCTGTGGAACCACGTACTCTCGTAGTGGAGAGGGATGTTCTCTCGGCTCCGGCAGTGGAACACATTGCGGAACTCTTTCTTGAACTTGGCTGGGAAACAAGAGAGCGAGAAAGAAAAACCAAGGTAAACTGAGGGATGGTGGAGTTTGTGATTATGTATATTAATTAGCTTCGATCCTAGCTAGACATAATACGTCATAATGAAAGCCAGTCTCATACTCTGAGGTCGTTTAGGGTTTATCTTTTTGTTTTCCCCAGCCTTCAATGGATACACACTATACTAAAATTAGAGTGTTGTATCAGTTTTAAAACGCCTGTCCATACTGACGATTGGGTAATAAGCGGGACTTCAGAACTTGCCTTCACCTTCAATAGGATGAGGCAATTAGGTGTAAACTACATAATAAACAGTTTTAAAAAGCCAATTTTGAGATTCGAACCTGGGTCATCTTTATCGTAGACTGCCATGATACACTACTGAGCTAAATAAAGATCCACCCATGATCGAGATGATACGAATGAGAGCTAGATAGAAGAAAAGTAAGTTGGGTGAGGTATGTATATGTGTAAGGGGAGGGGTTGGTGTTAAACTTACACCAGAGAGGTTTTTGAGGCCCCAACTACACTCCGACGGCGTTACGCTGTTTGTTGATGGGAAGTTTCTTTTTTTTTGTTTTTAACCCAACCTCAGCCCGCTCTTGGCGAAATTAAACTCAAATCCTGTCAGTCGTTACTGTGTTTTAAAATTTTATACTCGTTAAAGTTAAAAACATTTTTATTAAAGGAGCATACTTCATTTGGGATAATGTGTGAGTGTGTGCCCGCGCGCGGACTGTGTGAGTGTAATTGAGTGAGAATGAGAGAGAAAGAGAGAGAGAGAGAGAGAGAGAGAGAGAGAGAGGGGGGGGGCGTGGGCGGGGGAGGGCAGTTCAGCGGGTATTGCTTGATCAGGGTGCAGGGAATAGTGGTTCTAGACTAATACAGGGCATGATTCACCTTTGGTTGTTTGATGAGTTTTCAGGTAGCATCGTTACAAAGGGTGTAAAAATTTACAGCACACCTATAATAGTTATCAGGAAGAACAAAAATCTTATAATTCTCCATATTATCCATCAACAGTACATGAACTTTCAATTTAAAGTGTATTTTCACAAAATAATCGCACAACTTTCATGTTGTTTACAGGCCATACGCCCTTTCCATTGCCCTGAATATGTATTTAAAAGGTGATTTTCGCAAAAACCCCGAATTGTGATGCCCAGCAATATAGTGACTCGTGTTGAAAGCGGCATTTCTTTCACGCCGTATCAAGTGAAAGGCGAGCACTAGTGCACCCATGGTTCAACATTTAAAGATGTAATTTAAGATAACTGTTATTTTCCACCTTTTATGCCGGTAAAGCGTAACCCTTCCTGAGACATACCAGCAGCTATTTTCCATAGTCTTAGGGCTCGATATTTTTCAAAGACAAGCCAATGTGTCATACTCATACTGTTTAAACATAAACTCAATAACAAGATTTTGAGCTGACCGACTCAATTAAGATTATATCACGTGATATTTGTGACAAGCTGCACGTGAGTACGATAGTAACGAGGAAATATCAGATACAGTAAAGTTGGACGATGTCAGATAGAATGTCAGCCACCTGGTCAAAGAAGCTGATAAACGAGAAGGGGGACCATGTAACTGTCTCCAGAACTGTTTCCTTCTTCAGCATGACACTTTATCAAGAGCTGCAAGATATTAATCAATGATTAGTTTCTTCTTCTTTCTTCCTTCCTATACGAAATGTTAGCATCAACAACTTGGAACTAGATCTAATTTTTTTACACAACCTTTACCTAAAAAGACCTCGCGAACTTTGGATATAGAAATTGGACACCACAGTAGCAGCATCAACAATAAAGAACTAGACCCAATTTTTGACACAAATTTTACCCGATTAAACCTAGTGAAGTTGAATTATAGAAATTGGTCACACCAATACTGTCTTAACCTTTCAATACATTATCTTCTCCTCGTAGCACAAAGACAATGTTTAATAATCAGGTCAATCCTGTCATTCACAGTCCGTAAATTCGTGGATGCCTTCACCACCCCCCCCCCCACCCCAAGGAGAGAAGGAAAAAAAACGAAAAAAAGAGTGGAGGAAGAGAAATGGATGTTTCTATCTATTCACCGACAAAAAAAATAATACGCTATCTCGTATTACGTTCGAGGGCTTAGCTACATTAATAATTTACAAAGACGCCTTTTCTCGCCACGAAAGCCCTTTATCTTCAATATCTTCATTCTGAAGAGATAAAAAGCATACTCTCTGTCTGGAACGAAAAAGAATTAGCTACCACAGCATAACTAGGCCCTGGGAAATTAATTCCTTGTGAATGGCCTGTCAGGAGCATACGGCGAGAGCAAGAGGCGTGAAATTAGAATACTGTTCCGCAGGAGCTGCGCATGCGTCCTCACACAAGCTGGTTGCAAACACCAGGGATGTGACAAAGACATGTAATGAACAGGAAATCCTAAAACCTCAAGGATTTGATCTGTTAAAGGGGAAACATGATAATACATGTTTCTGCTGAAATCTTTATACATAATCATGATCGTATTACTAATGAAGAAAAAAACAAACTCTGGATCAATGAAGTAGTATAAAATATCACAAATAGCCAGAAGACGCACATTTGTTACTTCGAACACTCAAAATAATAGGAATTTTTCGGTTTACGATTACATCCATTAACCATTTCTTTATAACTGTACGTGGAAAATGTTTCATGCGTTATTCAACCCTGTCGTCGGAGCCAGATGTAAATAAAATCTCTTCTTCTTCTTCTTCTTCTTCTTCTTCTTCTTCTTCTTCTTCTTCTTCTTCTTCTTCTTCTTCTTCTTCTTCTTCTTCTTCTTCTTCTTCTTCTT